CCTCCTCCCGGAACCCCCCCCAGTCTTCTGCATCTCTCTCTCTCTCTCTCTCTCTCTCTCTCTCTCTCTCTCTCTCTCACATGCCACCCTTCATGCTTGCAGCAAGAAAGGCTTCTGTCCCTTTACAAGCTTTCTCTTTGAAGCTCCTTTGGGTATATTGAGCTCTCTGCTTCTGTCCTCCCACAGGGGCTCTGTCATGATCACCAGTACTTTCTGAAATATGAAAAATCAAAACGTCTTTTGTTTCCAAGTCTGATATTTTTAAATGTGAGACACCTGTACATTTTTTTAAATATTTTTCATGTTTAAATAAATCCTTTTAACATAGGAGCTCCCAAATTAAACGTATCACACCACCTCCTCCACAGAAACATCAGGCATGGTGTTAAAAGAAAAGCTTAGGTACATTCACATGTTAAGAGGCTGAGCAGACAAGTAATGAATTGGTCAGCACCAGACCACAAGCAACTGGACTCTGATGAAGGGACCCAGAGTGTAACTTTTATAAGCTTTTCTTAGAAGCTAGACCAAGAAAATGTATTTGATGATTAAAGTGAAAAATCTCTAGTTAGGTTCGTTTGGCAGTTTCTGATTGGTTGGGGTTAAGTTTTGTTTTACTGTTTAAAACAGAGTTGGGCTTCAGATTGCTTATTGTATAGGAACGCAGGGCACTAGAGCCAGCCTAGACTAGTAGCCTCTCAATATTTTTAACTAGAAAGAACACTGAACTTGAGTCTGGAAACCTTGCTCTGCCTCAAATTCACAGGCAACCTCAGACAAGATGCTTAACTTTAGACCTTGGTTCTCTCACCTGTAAAACAGGCACAGTAATACCTGCCTGGCCACAGGGACAGGAGGATCTAGCAAGAGTGCTCTCTGCACTCGGGGCTCTGCTAAGCAAGACATGCTCATCCCGCTGCTACGCGCTACTCTTTAAGGATGCCTGGCACGCACTCAGCTCCTGAGAGTCAGCTGATGGCAAAATCCACTCCCTGCCAATAGCACCTGTTTCTTATTGTCATGATGTCCCCCAGCATCGTGCCCAGTGCCTGGCTTGTAAAAGGTTTGTGTGATACGTGTCAGATGGTTGAGGAGATGGGCAGAGGAATGGCTGTGGTGTGGTCTCTACCCCCACCCACTATTCAGGCACCAGTCTTCGCTTGGGCCTAACTGTCCTAACCATGACATGTGCCAGGCTGGTCTGATCGTGGCAGGGCAAATTGGGATCCTGCCACCAGCACCTTCTCTGACTCTGGGCACTGATACTTTTATTCACAATCAGCTTTTACTGAGCTTCTGTGATTTACCAAGTCACGTCCATGCCCCTTGCCCAAGCCCTTGAGAAGGTGACCCTAGTGAGCTCACAGCCTAAACACTTGGTTGCCTTGGTCCTTAATAGTTTGTGCTGATGAAGGACCCACTCCCAAATGCCAAAGTACTTAGCACAACAGTGGGCATGTAAAAATGCTCAGAAAACATCCATGTAAAATGGGGTTTTTTTTTTCCTTTTAATGTCATGCCACGTACTGAAAGCTCTGTTAGTGACTTAGCCAGTGGCAGTTTCTCTTCATCTGAGTCATGTCAGTGGCTGTTTTAAGAAAATTATGTCATGTTACATCCCCAGCAAACTCAGAACTTCTGCCACTAGTAAAACTGCAGATGATCAGATATGCTGTTTTCTATGTATGTTCTCCGCTTTATTTATCTTGTATTCATAATGACATCATTATTTGTTTGGTATGCTTTTTAGGGTGTATGAATGAGGACTGATTATCTTGTCCCTTAATTTGTGCTGCTTTCTACTTGGCACAGCCCTGGTCCCTGTACTTTAGAGCTGCGATAGCTGTTTTGAGTCTTGCCCAAGTGTCCCGAATCTGGATGAGCTCAACTCTTTGGTTCCTTGGCCCTGTGCCTTTCTTCTCACCCTTCTCCACACCGTTTTCCTTTATTACAAGGAATTGTATTTCTTCACTGCAAAGGGGTCCCCTGGACCCCTGGGGGCTCTGCGCCGTGTCAGCCTGTGTTGCGTCCCGTCACTCCCAGAGCGCTCCCCCTTTTCAGACTGACGTTCGCCTGCACGAAGGAGACCCCCACCAGAGACAGCGATCCCACCGATTCCGGGACAGGCCAGCGGCTCACGTGTCTGTGGTTCCCCTCCCCACAGGTGAGGAAGACCCGAGTGTGGAGGAGGACGAGGAAGTGCTGACGCTGCTGTACGACCCCTGTCTGAACTGTTACTTTGACCCCCAGACTGGGAAATACTATGAGTTAGTGTGACCCCCACTTCCAGGGCAGAGCAGCTGCGCCGCCCGCTCCTCCAGCGGACAGCAGCCCAGAGACTGACCGGGAGGCACCATGAGCAGTGTGGAGAGTGAGCCCGGGAACCCGGCAGAACGAAAACAAGTGGACTTTACTGTGTAAATAATGTTCAATGCTGAGAATCCTTACATTCTTTTGTAGCTGTGTGTGATTTTGAATCTGTGAAAGAATTAACAGAGACAAGATTTTAGGACTTTGAATTAGTTGTTTTCATTCTCATGTTGCATATATATAATTTTATTTCATATTTTATGTAAATAAATTAAGTTATTCACTCGGATTTTTTGCAGTGTTAATCTGTAAATGATGGCCTGATATACCACAGAAAATGTATTCTTGTTTAAAAGCTATCTGGGAACCTTTTATTCTATGATATATTTGTATTAAAAATAAAGTATGATGGTTAAAAAAATACCTTTTAAACTGCTTTGTTTTATTCACCCTACTCTGCCAGAATATTCCTGACAGTCGTCAGACGGGAACCAGTCAGACTTCATGATCACATTTTATCGGCTCTGGCCCCACTACTCCCATGTCATTTTAGTTTATCCCATTTGCTAAGGATCACAACATTGTTAATCACTAAAGCTGCTTAGCATTGTACTTTGCTTTTCTCTTTTTAATATTTTACCAATTATCATTGAACTCTAGTAATCTAGCTCCATGGACCCAGATTTAACAAGGAGTCACCATTTGAACACCTGCTCTGCCCCACCGCTCCTGTGACTCGGGCCTAGAGAACACTGGTAGGTTTTCTTTGATCTCTAGGGTTGTGTCAGTGCAACTCTGCTTAGTGCATCGCAAGGCAGCAACTGTGTGCTTTCTGCATTAGGGCAGCCAGCCTTGAATTGTGTGCCAAGTACATTAACATTGAGTTCGAGGCAGCACTTATTGTATTAGCTGGCATATTTTGTTATTTAATAAAGATTTTTAATAAAGAAGAGTACTATTGGGAATGAAAAATTATTGGTGTACAGTTGGATTTAATGGTAATACTGTAATTTCATTTAATGTTGCTTGATAGAGGAAATAAGCTTTTTCATGAAAAGATTTGGGCTCCTGTTCAAAGCCTCATACATTATTTAGTACCATGTGTATATTTGATAAGCTTTTAATCCTGTTGTTCACAAAGTATACCTTTGCTATGAATTTTTCTCCAAGATCTTCATGCTTACAAAATGAAAATGAGTCAGTAAGACTTCACAAAGCATGCAGAATGATAAAAAGAATTGGGGTTATCTCGATCATGACCTTGAAGATTGGAGTAGGGGTTGGAAGGCTTTGTTCCTGCTTTAACTAGTCTCAGGACCACCCATGTAATAGGGGAGCCAATTAAAATTTTCTGTTAGTTAAAATTTACAGGTACAAATTACAAACATCATGAGCTAGCTTGTGGGGGAGAAAAGATACCAGAGTGCCTCATGAACTCCAAAACAGAAAGCTACAAGGCCTCCAAACTGATGTGAGCGTGAGCTAGAACCTCAAAAATATAGAGAAAACTCTGTTAGGAATTTTTTTTTTTTGTACCAAGGATTGAACTTCGGTCCTTGAGCTGGTGAGGCAGGCGGTGGAACCACTAAACCCCAGGCCCTAGTATTCTTGAATTACAAGCAAAAGACGCTCAGAATCCAAAGACTGGCTGAAAAACCAGACTCCAGTGGACGCGAATCAGGGCAGCTCCAGGGATCCCTGTAGCAACATCTTCCAGTTTCTCCTGTCAGTCAGTGTCACCGAGATGACCCCACCTTTTTCTGCCTCCAGTCTCGGCTCCAGCCGTGAGACGCTGATAGGCCCACTTGTCCATCATTCCTCATGGGATAAGGGCGAGACAGCGCCCAAAGGAGAAGACGGTGCTGTTCACAACGGGCAGACCAGTGTCCCACCAGCCTGGAAGTCTAGAAGTCTGCCAGTCCTCTCTGATTCATCCTGCTGTTTCAACCTCTCCCTCTCTTTCTCCATAATTTGCCCAGTTATTCAGTCAATCTGGCAGAACACCCTGCCACTGCACAGCCTCTGCATCCAACCGTACAGAAATTCTCAGTCTCAATTTCAGTTCAGAAACCCAAGTCAGGATTGCAAGTGGCCCGGTTTGGTCCGTGGGCCACCAGGACCCTCTTCTGTGGGTGAGGGTACAAGGCCCATGTGAGCTCAGCGAGCCCCCAAAGGTGGCCACCACAAGGTCTCATTATCAACTTTTCACATTTTATTTGACTTTTTTAAAGGAGTAGTTTCATTTCTGATGAACAGTTTTCTACAGAAGAGTTGAAAAATAGCAACAGATGTACTTCACACTGCTAAATTTCAACCAGTACAGCGCAGCCAGTTTGCTTGGAAATGTATTGTGTACACTGTATGTGTTCACACTGGGCTACGTACTAGACTCTCCCGGGAACTGACACCTAGGTTCTGCATCTACAGAGCCTGATTTCATTGGTCTCAGCTGCAGCCTAGACATCAGGAAGTTTTAAAACCTCCCTGGAAATTCTAAAGTCAGACAAGGCTGAGAACCCTGCAATAGACTGGATTTGGCAGGAGGAGACAGCAGCATCTCTGCCTGGTGGCATGCATGCCTGTGGGGAAGAGGCCATACGATTTGTTTCCATTTTCAAGGCCTTGATTTCTATTTCTAATCAAATGTATAACATTTATATCTGGAGCTGACTATTACAAATGGATATTAAAAATAGGTTGGTTCAATTTGGATAATTTGGTATCAATTTTGAGATTGATTCGAACAGTTGCTTGTTTTATATAAATGGGATGCAATTTACAAATGACTGTAAGTCCTCAATCTCAATTATTGTTTAATTACAAATCCCAGTTAATAAGAACTAATGGAAAAACAACTGTCGGTAATGTACAGTAGCAGATGATGATTTTATTTCCCTAGCAATTTTCAGTTTTATTTGGCAAATTAATTTTATTTTATTTTCTATTAAAGGAAAAGATGGACCTATACAAAATACATAGACTTCTTGAAATACTTTGCCCTATTGCTTTTCTCCATATTTTTAGATTAACTTTATTTAAGTCAGCTTCATTTAAGTCAGTTCAACCACATCTTGAGTTTTTTCAAAGTGCAAACTGTACATATTTAATAACCAAGAATAGCATAGTCACAGAATGTACTACCCAAAGGACAATTAATTAAAAGAACTAATTTTAAAATTGCCCTTTGGCTTTAATTAAAGATCTAGCTGCTGAAATTTTCTGGATCAATCTTTAAAAAAAAAAAACATAGAATAACAGAAACTATGGTACCAAAATTTAGTTTATCTCAGATTACATCCCGTAACTCTCAGTCTTTACACAAATTTGCCAGAATACTGAAAATTAAAACTCTGTCCACCTATGGTTGTATGACAGAATTTCTATTTCATACATCATTCATTTTGCATTCCAGAAAAGTTGGTCATAAAGAAAATTCTTATCAAGCAAATCCTGTTTTCTCCCAGTACAATAGTTGAAATGCAATCACCTAGAAAAGACAATGAAGACTATTTCATTAAACTCTGATTTTACTATGGAGAAAAATGAGATTCTGATTGGGAAGTTAATTTTCCAGAGGCACGGTTTAGAGTGGAGAACAGAATCCATGATTCCTCACTCCTGAGCCAGTCCTTTGCCTACCCAGAGGGAATTAAGGACTAAACTAACAGATTTTGATGAACTTCACCTTCCCTGTACAGAGGACACTACCACCTTCTCAGGAGTTTGAGATCTCTGGTTCTTGCTTAGCATTTTCTTCTTGCTTGTGCTGATGCTTTCTTCTCTCAGTTGTTAACATTTGTTCCTCAAAGGTCAGCATTTCCCAGTGTGCATCCCAAGAAACAAAATTCCCACTACCTAGTAATGAATGTGGGGAAAGAGTACATGGCTGAAATCAAAAAGTACTGGAAAATAGGACAGAGATGTTCTCAGTGGCCCTGAGGCAGGAGATAAGGGCACAGCAAAGCCGCTGGGCAATTGGGCATGACTAGTCGATCACAGAGACTCGGATTCAGGAGCTTCACAGAGATTCAGGACACAGGCACAGAGCAGCCACTGAGCCCTGTATGCCTACTACCAATCAAAGAATGAATGCTGTCTTCAAGTGTGGCACAAGATCAAGGTGAGTCCCACGTCTGATACCACTCTCCTAGCATGAGATCAAGTGGGTTTACGCTGGGACCACCTCGATCTGATGTCAGAATGGGAGTATAAAAGATGGTGTGAGGAATGGGATATCCAGCGCTTCTCAAACATGTCTGTCTACAGAGTGCTTGTGCGGAGGCTTCCATGCTCTTGCCCACCCACAGCACTTCTAGGAGAGACGCTGCTGTAGGTTCCTTCTCCAGAGCCTGGGAACCCTGACCCTCACCAGATTCAAGAAATGTGTCTCCTGGTCTGTGTGCACATGCACAGGTGCAGGTTGTGTGCGTGCGTGCGTGCGTGTGTGTGTGTGTGTGTATGTGTTGGGGCTGCGGTTGTCAGAGATTTTTTTTTTTTTTTTGCTGTTCTTTGCCGTGCCCAGCCATTTCACTGAGCCCTGACGAGACTCCTGAAAGATGATTCTTCAGAGATGCTTTTCACCCAAAAGCAGGTACGCTAAAGCCTGAGCATTCCCTAGGTCTGAGGCCTTGCTCACCTAAGATTAAGAAATTTTCTCCTATTTTAATTTAGACAACATAACCATAGATAATATGGTTAACTTATAACAAAAGATAAATCTAAGTGGAAGTTACTCACCATGAATATTGGAACTTTACATCTTAATGAATATTCTGGTTCTGGTTTATGTGGTTTTAATATAATTTAGAATCACATTAAATCACAATAATTTGACTTATAAGAATTAAATTACCAATAACATGAGCCACAGATAACACTAATTTTTACTGCTGACATATTCTTGTGTAGTTAATCACTGTAATTCTGCGAAGTATTACAGAAGTGAAATGCGGGAAATCGTATTGATTGGTTTTCATCAGCCCAACTTATCACTGTCAATGTTTATGCTGAACCTGGCAAGATTTAGGCATATAAACTTGCTCCTAATAGTAAGGCGCATTGTCAATATTTTAACCTGCGGATCAAGAGAAATTATCTCTCATTTTCTGTAGTGGATTATTCCAAAAGCATAAGAGGCAGGGTGCTCTTGGATTTGGCCTCAGAAGTCCTAAAAGGGAATTAGTCATGGTTAATTTCTGGTGATGTGACATTCTAAAAATAGAGTTTCTATTAACGATGGATGTTGGTAATGTACAATTAAATCATGAGATGGAATTAAATAAACGCCCAGTTTTACTTTGCTACTTCC